CAAAAAAAGTCTGATTAAAACATGGGCAGAACTGAATAAACATTTTCCCTAAGAAGACATATAAAAGGCCAATAGGCACATGAAAGGTACTCAACATCACAAATTATCAGGGAAATGCAAATCAAAACCATGAGATATCACCTCACACCTGTTAGAATGACTATCATAAAAAAGACAAGAGATAACAAGTGTTGGTGAAAATGTGAAGAAAAGGAAACCCTTGGCACTGTTGATGGGAATGTAAATTGGTACAGCCACTATGGAAAACAGTATAGAGGTTCCTCAAAAAATTAGAAATAGAGCTGTTATGTGATCCAGTAATCACACTCCTGGGTATATAGTAGAAGGAAATGAAAACAACCTGAAAGAGATGTTTGCACTCCCATGTTCATTGCAGTGTTATTCACAATAGCCAAGATATGAAAGCAACCTAAGTATCTGTCAATGGATGAATGGGTAAAGAATATGATGAGTATATATATATATATATATATATATATATATATATATATATTCATCACTAAACAAACTCAAGTTATAAACGTTATAGAAAAATAATATGTGGACATTTTTTTCACACATGCATTAAGAGACTGAAGGTAAGTGGTCCAGAGTTGGAAGAAGGAATTACATGGCTGTCAGAGACCTAGACTCATTTATTTCATTGTTAATGAACACATCCATCAACTTAGTTCTCTTTTTTTATATGAACATTTAAGTTCTACTCTCTTAGCAAATTTCAGTGATAAAGTACAGCATTTCAACTACATTCGTCATATTTTACATTCTATCCTCAGAGCTTATTCATCTGATAGCTGAAAGTTTGTATGCTTTTACAACCTTCTCCCTAATACCTTCACTGCCCCCAGCTCCTGGCAACCACTTTTCTACTCTCTGCTTCTACAAATTTGATGTCACAATTTACATCATTTTACCATGTGTATTCATTAACAAATTAATATAGTTATACTTTAAAATATACTTTTGTCATTTAACTTCATAGTAGTTTTATAAGTGATTTACGCACCATCATTATGACATAAAAGTATTTTGAATTTAACTATATGAGTACCTTTACCTTTATACTTTCATATGTTTTACTGTTTCTAATTAGCATCATTTCATTTTAACTTGAAGAAGTACCCATAACATTTCTTATTTGGTCGGTCTAGAGGTGATGAACTCCTCCAGTTTTTATTTGCCTGGAAAACTATCTTTTCTTAAATTCTGAAGGACAGCTTTGCTGGGTAGATTTTCTTGGTTGGCAGTTTTTCCTTCTTAGTATTTTGAATATATCATGGCTCTGCAAATTTTCTGCTAAAAAAATCCACTTATGATTATCTTATGGGCGTTCCCTTGTATGTAACAAGTCGTTTTGTCTTGCTGCTTTTCAAATTCTCTCTTGTTTTTATCTTTTGACAATTTAATTATAATGTGTCTCAGTATGGATCTTTAGACCTGACTTATTTGGAACTGTCTGGGTTTCCTGGATCTGCATGGCTGTCTTTTCCCCCAGGTTAGAGAAGTTTTCATCCATTATTTCTTTGAATAAGCTTTTAGCCTCTCTTTCCCTCTCTCTTTTTCTCTCTCTCGCTCTTGTTCTCTCTGTCTCTCTCCTTCTTCTGGGACCCCTTTAATGTGAATAATGGTTTGCTTGATGCTGTCTAATAAGCAGGAACAATGCTCATAACCACTCTACCATGTGACCTTCTCTCTATCAATGGATAGACAAATTCCTTAGGCTTCCATATTAATGGGGACTAAAGAAAAGAATTATATTGCAAAGACATATGGGTTAATGCTGACCCTTTGTCTATGGCAGACCTAGATTCTGTTACTTCCAACTTCTTTTTTTTGGGGGGGGGGAAATAGAGCTGAATACAAAGTTTTGTGGCAATGTGACTACCTTTAGATTCCTTTTTCTAGGTAGACATTTTCTCTTTCTGTGTCTTCTTATACATTATATCTTTCCTCCAAGTAGAATGAATGAGCAGATACAGTCATAGTAACAAATGCATTCACACATTCAATATTTATTAAATGCCTATTATGTATAAGGGATGTGCTAGTCCTTTTATGTAGAGTCAGAATGGAAGCCTATATCTGCCTATATATAATATCTGCCTGTGTAGGTCCTATGGAAAGAGGAGACTGTATTCCTTGCTTTTCCCAACTTCTAAAGGCCACCAGCACATGGCTGTATCACTCCAATCTCTGTTTCTGTTGTCACATTACCGTCTTGCCTCTCATCTCCTGTCTCCCTTTTGTAAAGACCCTTGTGATTACATCAGAATAATCCAGGACAATGTCCCCATCACATGATCCTTAACTTAATCATATCCACAAAGTCTTTTTTACCAAGTTAGGTAACATATTCATAGGTTCTGGAGGATTAGGATACAAACACCTCTAGGGGGCTATAATTCAGGCTCCCACAGCACCCAAGAGCACTTTGTGCATTAAACCATATTTCAATCTGAACAATCCTTTGCTTCTGGCTCTTGCAGGAGGCCAAGGTCAGTTTACTAAAGTTATAAATGAGTGTGGGGGAGGATCTCCCGCAATGCCCGCCTTGGATTTTTTTGCATTTGGATTTTTGCATTTGAACTTCAGCTAAAAAGTTTCTATCATTTTGGGTGACAGACAAATATTAGAGTCAGCAAGGCCCTGAAGTTATTATATATACCTGAGAGATGTGTGTGTGTGTGTGTGTGTGTGTGTGTGTGTGTGTGTGTGTGTGTTTCATCTCTGGCCAAGCACTATCCTGTCTTGGGCAACACCTACCCCAATTCCAATCGTTGACAGTTAGGAAGAGATATAGCTAGTTCATTGGTTTCCCCTTCTTCTTCTCCCTCCCCCGCAATACATATTATCCATGATCATTGGCTGCTTTTTAAAGTATAGTTTATTTCTTAAAGAAAAGTAGTTACTATAATAAAAGTCGACACAGCATGTTGACAAAAAACATATATCTGCCTCTGAGTAATCCCTGAACAATCCTTTGCTTCTAGCTCTTGCAGGAGGCCATGGTGCAGTTTACTAAAGTTATAGATGAGGGTGGGGGGAAGATCTTGTTCAATGCCCCCCTTGGATTTTTTGTGCTTGAACTGTAGCTAAAAAGTTTTCTTTGTTCTGGGTGACAGACATACAGATAAATATTAGAGTCTGCAAGGCCCTAAAGTTATATACCTGAGAGATGTGTGTGTGTGTGTGTGTGTGTGTGTGTGTGTGTGTTTCACTCCTGTTTCAGTTGTCCTCCACATCCTGCAGCCAGAGACCCTCAGGGCTTCTGGGAAATGAAAAGCAGCTCTTCCTAAGTAGTTTAATACCTTGATGTCTCAATCATTTTCTTTAATAATCCTGAATTACCACAAAAATAATTAGAGGCAGACCAACCCATTAAGCATTATCTTTCAACTAGAGTGTACTGGCTAAGCAGTAATCCTACCTCAGACTTCATAGAAATATTTTTATTTGAAGATCAAAAGAATTGTTCTCTAAGTACCTACTGACAAATGGGAATCATTGGAGATTCCAGCCCAACCCTCTGTTTTGCGGAAATAACAATAATACTCAATACTCTTCGAAAGACTTTTCTTTAAATGGGATAAAGGAACTAATGAAAGAAGAGAGTTCTTCCCCTAGAGATATTATTCTGTGTTGAAAAGAAGGAGAAATTTTAACTGGTCTAAATACTTCTGTCACCTCCAAAGCCATCCTGAGCAGCCTCAGGCTGAAGTTACTTGGACTTAACATAAGTAAATGCAAGTGTCTGATATGTTTAGTGCTTCTATATTTTAATAGTACTTTCCTGATTAGAAAACTGAAAGTTGTCCAAAGCAAAAGTTTATTTGGAAAATAGAAAAAAAATTTTTTTTAGTTTATTCACATTATTACCATACCTACAGTGGCAAGTGCTATAAACATTTCAGCGTGTGCTTCTTTAGACTTCTTTTTGTGTGTGTGTGTATGCAGAGGTATGGTGTTTTCCCCCAAAATATAAAATAAAGTGTCTCACTTTTGAGATAGATTTCTTTTTACCCACTCTACCCAGGTGAAAAACATGACATTTTTATTTTTTGAATTTATTATCTTTTTATGAATTTCAAATTTATTCCTTTTGAAAAGAGTTATTTAGACTCATTTACGCATAGACTTTCATCATACATGGCTCTTATACATGCTAAAAGAGGGTTGTTTTAGTGAACAAAGAGAAATCACAAAGTGAAATCAATGGGTTATCTTAAAACTTCTGCCCGTTCAGATCTTCTGTTTAACGAATGTCTTGAGGTTAGGTCACCGATGTGTTCTCACATGCAAGATCAACCTCTCTGCCACAAGATGATAGTTGATAGACCATTTCTTTTTTTTAAGGGTTTTTATTAAAAATACAGCTAACATACAATATTATATTAGTATCAGGAGTATGCCATAGTTATTCAACATTTATATTCCTAAACAAGTGATCAGTATGGTTAAGTTCAGCAACAACCTGACACTGTGCTATGATATCACAATATTATTGACTATATTCCCCATGCTGTTCATTACATTCCCATGACTTATTTATTTTCTACCTGGAAATTTGGACCTCTTATTCCTCTTTACCTTTCCCTCCATTTTTAATTTTCAAATTAAGGTTGACATTCAATATTATTTTACATTAATTTCAGGTGTACAGCATATGGTTAGTGGTTAGACATTTATATAATTTAAGAAGTGACCCCCTGACTAGTCTAGTACTCATCTGGCACTATGCATAGTTATTACCATCTTATTGACTATATTTCTTATGCTTTACTTTACATCCCCATGACNGAGAGAGAGAGAGAGAGAGAGAGAGAGGAAGGGAGAGAGAGGGAGAGAGAGTTGACACATTATCTTTTAAGTTACAGCTTTTGGAGTAATGAAAAAGGTTAGCTTTATTCTAATTGCAATCATTTACCTAAGCTACCACTTTGTAATTTGGTGAAATATCCACTTATTGTAATCCTTTGCAGGCTACAGCAAAACCATGGTCACTCTGGAAAACATTTCTCGTGTGTCTATTGGCCTGTCTAATTGCTACAGCCCTTGTAGTTCTGGTCTTATATTTTGTCCACTTTGGCAAGCCTACCACGGGCACCACCATCATCATTCAGGCAGACGGAAAGTTCAGACATGTCATCTGCATCCCTGGTTCTACCCCATCTCCTGCCTCATCACTCCTGCCTGGGTCTCAGGGCACCCTGCCTTCTATCCCTTTGGCCAGCCAAAGCTCACCTACCACAATGCCTCCATCTACCCCTGTGGCCAACCAAAGCTTGCCTACCACAGTGCCTCCATCTACCATGGAGACAACTAGAACCACAACAGTGGACCATGAAATTATCATTGAAGAGTAAGAATGATATTTTTGAGCCCTCAGCCTTCCTCAAACCAGATCAACACTCTTATTCTGAAGGAGGCATGTCCAAGCTGTTCTGTCCTCCCTGCCAAGAGGTTCCAAAGTATTTGACTTCATGAGATTTTGCCTCTCTTGCTCAATCATTTGCTGGATTGCCATATGGTGATGATTCAGTCTTGGGTCCGTCAATGTTCAAATGATTGGAAAAGAAAAATTTTACATGAGCCTGACTAACTCATCTCAGCTGGGGCCCAGAGTTTTCTCTTCATTCTTCTTGTACAAATAACCTCAGTGATCACGGATGAAGATTTCAACGGCTGAAGAGGCTCCCTTCCTGCATGTTGGTTCTTAAGGCAGTATTTACCATCCATTGTTGATTATTTCCTAACCTATTTTCAGCACTTGTACCCCGGAAGGGAAAAAAGAAATGTTCAAAGTGGTTGATGTGCACAAATTATTAAATACCTATCGATCGTTACAGAAGTATTTCTCCTATTGGTGAATTCAGAAAAGAGGGGAGATCAGTGAGGCTAGGAATAATTAAGGAAGATTTCGGAGAAGAGCTGAAAGTTGAGAAAGGGTGAAAGTTTGGATTTAAGTAGAGAAAATTAAAGCAGAAAGTGAGAGGGTTAAGGGGGTTTAATAGATTAAAATTAAAAACACAGCAATACTTCAAATATAACAAATGATATATTTTATATATCTGTACTCTTTCACTGACTATTTCCCATATTTGATATTTTGCTTAATCTCTAAACTACTATAAACTACTAATAAAATTTGAACTTTTAAATTGTTTTGCATTTTGTATCATAACTTTGAGGGCACATAGCTTATAATTTGCTATAAAACACAGACTCTTGTGCAATATTGCTTTATTCTGAGTGTTTGATACTTAATAGAAGCATAAACATTTCAATCTGGAAAAACCTTTAGAGTTAAAGCAAACTGCCCACTCCACACCCAATTTCCAAACTCTACAAAAGGGGAAACCTGTCCCAGGGAAGGGAGAGGGGGCTTCTAGTCAAAGACTCAGAGCCTCTGAGTTCTCACCAGAGCCTGGGTCTCCAGCTTACAACTTCTGATTCTCTCTTGCATACCATTAAAGATTCTAAATGTGTTGTTTTGTTTTTCAAGATGTTCTAAAGCAAAAGATTTTGTGTTTTATATAATTGTACATTAATTTGCTGCAGTCAATAATAAGCCATGTAAATTAGCATAGACCTGAAGGCCTGACTGAATATTTAACTCTGCAGACAAAATATTAGATATGTGGTCATTCTTCAGATAATTGTTATTTTTGTGCAGCTAGTATTATTTCTCAGACACTGGGGAATGTAAAAATTTGAGTCTTTGAAGAGTAACTTTTTATACTACAAACATTAATTGACAATAGACTTTAAGAGTTATAAAAGGTATTATATAAATTTTAGAAAACGAATTTCATAAAGCTCTAGATAAAATTAATAAACAAAAGGGTATAAGTGTGAATGCATTTTCCCCAGTACAGTTTTAAATCAATTTATTGCTATACTTTTGACTTAAATGCTTGTGAAGAAGAAATACTAAATTCACTAGGTTAAAACATGCTTCCTTATAAGTTAAACTCTGTTTTGTGATAGAAAAGTAAGAAAACCTTTTAATAAAAGAGCTAAAATAAATTTACTGCTAACACTTTTTTTTTAAAGTTTTGTATTCTAGAGGCTATCCTAAATAACTTAATGCTGTGATAAAAGCTGTTATTTACCTCCTTTACTCTTAGATATAATACAGAATACAGCATGGTAATACCAGAAGAATAATTTCTTTGTGTTTAAGAGGCATCTTCTCTTAACAATAAATTTCCTAATGTCAAATATTTAGTTGGAGGACATTGTGATTAAGGTTATGTGAGATCATCAGGGTTCTGTGCTTTGTAAAATAAAGAAGTGAATGAGTTCTTGGATTCTTTTTTTTGCTTTAGACTTTTACGGTTTAATAAAATGTTAAATTAGTAAAGTTGTGGAAAGTATCTTCACGAGTTAAAATAATTAACTTGAGCAAAAATTTTAGAAAACACTATGAAAATACTAAGTGAAATTTGCATAGTCAATAAATAAGTAACCACCTAGTTTTAATGATTTATTCAGCAAATATCAAAACCAGACAGTTGTTCTAATATTTATTATTTAAAAATTTTATTCACCATACTTGAATCACAGTAATATATTTTAAAAGCCAGGAAGCTTCTCTATTTAAAACATCTTCTTCAAGGACTTTTATGAGCCCATTATTTGTTCTTAAATGTAAAGTAATTCATGTGGGATTAAAATGATAAGTTTTCAATACATTTCAGCAAATAAGAGTGTAATTCACTTTTTTTGGATGCTTTACTACT